AGGATCCCGCTCTCGATGAGTACCTCGCATCCGCGCTCGTCCAGCTGCCCACTCCTCCTCTGTCAAAAGCAGCTTGCCGCTGTCCGTCGTTGCTGTGGCCTGCTCCATGCGCTCATCCACCGCGCCGCAGACGGCCTGTCATGTCCTCAATGGTTAGGGTGGACAGGTCCAGCATCGTCTCTATGGAGAGAGCGATCTGGATGTACTTCACCAGTATAGAGTGGATGTACTTGGAGACCGCCTCCTCTTTGTCGATGGTGACGCCGTGGCTCCTCAGCTTGCTGATGAGCGACTGTAGGCGGAGGGAGAAGTCCACCGATTCACCATCCTCGAACTTGAGGTTGGCATACTCCTGCTTCAGCAGCTGGACCGTCGCCTTCTTTGCGCGGTCGAAACTGACGCGCATCGCTGCAATGGCCTCCCACGCCTCCTTAGCAGAGTTCTTCACCCCCAATGGCTCCCTGTACTCCGCTGGCACAGCAACGAGGATAGCCTCCAACGCTGACATGTCGTCTTCTTCGTTGTCGGTGCCCTTGTCAATAGCATTCTAGAGCCGTCGGACTCTGAGCTTGACCTTCATGGTCACCGTCCACTCGCCATAATTGGTGCGAGTCAGCGTCGACCAACTAGTGCCGCTGACCTCCCGCAACGTGCGCACGACGACCTCCTGTCGTGGCTGGGCAGTCACAGCAGCGCCGCTGTTGTCGTCCATCACCAAACCGTCATTCATCGTCAGCGGTTAGTCCGGCGACGGTGCTTGTACGGCTCCGATACCACTTGTTGGCCCCCTGATCTCTGGCAAGGGTGAGCCGACCGCTCACCAGTGTTGCCGACCACACACCATGGCTAGAGGTAGAAGTAGAAGAAGGGAGGAAGAACAGAGCGCACACACACAACACAAACACCAGCTTTGGCTGGAGCTCTGCAAAGGAGATGGCAAAACTGAACTCGCTCTCTTTACTGAGCTGCAGTAGAAAACTATATATACAACTCTACACATCTAATCCTAGTACACAGACATGTCAGGCTGACATGCTGCTATAGTGACTATATGTGACAGCAGGGCTGACTTTGACGCCTACCCCTGCTGTGGCTACAGTGCAGCTGGGGAGAGCACGGGAGTCTTTCGACGCCTGTCCCTGCCGCACGTTCATAGAGAGGAAGAGCAGATTACTCAACATCTTATAGCGTTTTCGCTTGTTCTTTTCCTTTCCTTGGAGCGCGTTCTTCCTTTCTACCAAGCCAACTAAGAAGAAGAGAAGGGCCGTTTGCTCTAGCGACACGGCAGCCGTTTCCGATGTTTTAACGTGGAAGCATTTGGCATGCAAGCTGTCGCATGCATTAAGCGGCAAATTTAGCAGGTTAGCTAGAGTTTGATTAGTAGTAGTAATCCGATATGCTGGTTTATTTGTTCGTTTGTTTGCTAAGATTACAAGGGCTGGTGATGTGCTGCTAGCTGTAGTGTAGCCTGCCGTCTCGCCTCATTTGTACATTGTAAAACAACTATTACTCTCCATTGACTGACTGAATGGATGAGTATAAACGTATTGGACCAACATGCTGAGTATGAGTTTAATTTATCACAGATAGCCGAGAAAATCGAAATTTCAGTTCTATTAGTGCAGAGGTGGAAGAAAGGGTTTATCAGTTTTTTGCACACGCAAGACAAACAGCGTATTGTCTGGTGACATGTACTCTATTCGTTCCAAATTATAAAATATTTTGGTTTTTTTAGATACATAGTATTTACTATGCATTTAGATATACACACTATCTTTAAATACATAGTAAAACAATGTATCTACAAAAATCAAAATGTTTAATAATTTAAAACTGAGTAGTAGTACGTAAAGATGGCAGTATATCGTCAAGTGTGGCATTGTGTGAAAACATGCATCATATTGTCCAAGTGTTAAGATGGACTCCGATGGAGCACCGAGCTATTGCTCCAATGGCTAGTAGCCACTAGACTGTACGGCGTTGACCTTTTTGCCTAGCATCGAATCATCTGTTGCTCCTAGGATTTTTTTTTTAATATAACATCTCGTCAGGGTGAATGGGCTATATATGTGGGTTCTGACTCACTTGGCTGATGTGGTTGGAGTGCACCAAGATTGCTACAAGCTAGAGCAAATGATCCTACACTCCATCTACCCGCTCAAGTGTGCATTGATCACATCTAAGACATATGATAGACCTAATTTTTCATCTTTACAATGGTTAGGCCTTAGAATTTGAGACCTTAAGTGATTGAATCGGTATACTTGAGCACTAAGTCTTAGTGACTTTCCGACAAACGCAGTGCCAACCTTCTGGTGTACGCCAACCCTATTAGCTTGGTATGGAGCGACGATGGCTTTAAGTACGGGGGACGAGGAGACCCCCTCCTTATTGGAGAAGATCCGTAGTGGGCGACAACAAGATGACCGGGAGAGTTGGGCGATAGTGGTGAGCTTTAGTGGCTTGTGGCACTTGACTTGATTGCACAAACCTTTGTGGCGAGCTCAACACCATGACCGAGGGAAGGCTTCGTGATGAGGAGTATACCTTGGTGGAGTTCAACGTGGACAAGAAATTGCAATTTGGCAACTGATACCACTAGAAAAATTGCCTCGTCTCTGAGAGTTTTCTCTTTTGATTTGCTCTTTACTTGTTGCTTGATCTGTGTGGCATTTTGCTTTCCTAGACTAGTATAGACTAGCTAGTAGGATTGGATTTAGGTTGTGAAATTCTTTATGAGTTGGGTAGGTAGGGCACATTGGGAAAAAAAACCTAAGGTGCATACCATGTTTGTTAAGTTTATGGTTTTTATAGTGTATTTTAAGAAAGCCCTACGTTTAAATATTTAGAGACCCCATTCATCCCTCTCCCTCTTTGATCTTTTGGTTGTATTCAGATGTTCGTGGTCTCTTTTGAACTGGTATCAGGGTTAGAGCTCATACCTTTCACAAGGCCAATTCAATTCCATTAGCAAATTTGTGAGGATTGATATGGAAGCTCCATTGGTGGCCTAAATTAGTATTGTGTAAAAATGCCAAGGCCCATGCACTTTGAGTAGGTGTATTGTAGTTGCAATGGTTAGTTAATTAACCCAAAATGTTGATTATATTTGGACTTTGTGTTATGACAAAGCCCAGCATTCCATCCAAAGGTATGCTTCAAATTGAAAACAAGGCTTTTCACTTTTGATGAGAAAATATATTGGATTGTCCACTCCATAGGGTCACATGAAGAATGATAAAATAGTGTTTTGTTTAGGGAATAGGATAGGGACGAAGTAGGATATTCGATTTTATTCTAGTGTTTGGTGGGGCACTCAGGGTCGGAACGATCCCATCAGGGAATATTCCACCTAGATCTAGACACCTGTCGTGGGGGCAAGCGTGGCGGGAGGAAGAATGAATGTGGGCGTTCGTCTTTGTTTTTCTTTTATTGAAGGAAGAAGCACGTGCGACGAATCTGTTAGGAAAGTTCATCCCAGATTTAATGTCCTCAAACCAAACACAAATCAGTGATGGATCTGTCTCCTAAACCAAACACTGGGATGGGACGATTCTATTCATACCTTTCTTCAAATCAAACACAACCTGAGTTCCTATCAATTAGAGCATGTTTCGATAAAAGATTAGCTGATTCGAGTGACAAGTACTCATCAATGACACTAAAGAAAGTTTTGGTCAAATCAGTTTCACAGAACCTTGCTACATATACAATGGGTGTCTTTAGGCTTTCTAAAGGCCTCTGTTATGATCTTATAGAAATGATTAGACATTATTGATGGGTGGAGAAGAGGGGGAAAAGAATACTCATTGGGTCTCTTGGAATTGGAATAATTTGCTGCAGCCAAAATGTAGAGGTGGAATGAGATTTAAGGACTTTCGGCTTTTTAACCACGCTATGTTGGCACGGCAGGTTTGGCGACTTTTAATCTTTCCAAATAGCCTCTATTATGGACCTCTAAAAGCTTCAATGGGAAATTGCTTGACACAATTTTCACAGGGATGCATCCAATACACGGTGTGCAATTGAACATAGTATTGAATCATTGAAGAAAGGTATAATTTGGCTTATCGGGAATGACAAAAACAGTCAGTCTTTGGCGTGATAATAGGATACCGAGGGATTTTTATTTGAGACCAATCACAAAAAGAAGATGATCAAGCGCGGGAGGATCCAGAGTAGTTCCCCCATCGTGGATTGTCCATATATGATTGCATCTATATTTGTATTTGTATTTGTATTTATTTCTACTCATTTTTTATCTCTCCTTTCTACTTTAGAGGTCTATAAATACAAAAGGACGAGTAAGAGCATTGCATTGCTAGGTACATACTCCGAGGAAGAGCATTCTGCAAGAATCTTATTTTTTGGTGTAACTATAACCATCGTAATTCTGACACGTGGAGAGGAAGAGCGATCCTAATATATTAGGATATGTTTGTCTGTTCAAGGTTAACGGAGAGCAAAATTGGCAGCACATGAATTGGCACAACACGATAATGTAATTAAATGCGCTTTAATTTCATCTCGGATACTACTTGTAATCCAGCATGTTGTGCTTAACTGCTTATATGGATTGTAATGTTGCCTAATTATGCTCTTCATAAACCATCTTTTTACTTGCAAGAAACATAAAAGGTTACCCTTTACGTCACAAATTAATAGCTCAGTCTTTAACCTCATCCCTCATTTAGCATTAGCATCTGGGATATGTATGTATACAGCTTGAACTACACCTAGTAGCTAGCAAGTTACTCCTAATTACCCATTTTTATTATATTGGATCCTCACAATCGACAACTCATGCGATCTAATTTATCATAATCTCATCTCTCTCAGCTCGCCTTGCAGCGTTAGCTATAAAAGATGACACACATTTGATCAACTGCAGCCGCTGGTAGCAGTATTCATTGGCAAGGCGAGCTACGTTGTTCCTCCGGTTAACTGACCGGCCGGAAAGTCGGCGACGTGCACAGCAGGTACGCAGCAGCTAGCTAGCAATGGCGCCTCCACGCCGGCCGAGCATGGGGCGGCAGAAGATCGAGATCCGGCGCATAGAGAGCGACGAGGCGCGGCAGGTGTGCTTCTCCAAGCGCCGCGCGGGGCTGTTCAAGAAGGCCAGCGAGCTCTCCATCCTCTGCGGCGCCGACGTGGCCGCCGTCGTCTTCTCCCCCGCCGGCAAGGCCTTCTCCTTCGGCCACCCATCGGTGGAGTCCGTCGTCGAGCGCTTCCTCGCCTCCTCCTCCTCCCCCTCGCCTGCAGGTGCCGGTGCCGGTGCCGGCCACTCCTCTGCCGGCGGCGGCGAGGACCGCACGGTGTCGGAGCTGAACCGCCAGCACGGCGAGCTGCGCGCGCAGCTGGACGCGGAGAAGACGAGGCAGGAGCTCGCGGACGAGGCGATCCGGAAGGAGCGCGAGGCGAGGAGCCCCGCCATGGCGTGGATCGACGCGGACCTGGGCGCCATGGGCCACGACGACCTGGTCGCGTTCTGGGCCGCGCTGGCCGGCGTGCAGGCCGCCGTGGCGGCCAGCGCCGACCAGCTGCTGCGTGACGCGCTGCTCGTTGGGCGCAGGGGCCGGCACCAGCAGCCCGCCCAGCTTGCCGGTGATGGTGTGGCCTTTGACGTCGGCGCGTTTGGCATTGGCGTGCAGGTGCAGCCGCCTCCAGGATTCGCCGGCGTCGACCTGCAGGGGTTCGGAGGACAGGCTGCTGCCATCCTCGGCGCCGCCGGTCCCTCATGAGGTGATCGACGAATGCATGTGTGCACAGTTCACTCAAGTTGTTTGGAGATAACATCGCAAATTTGCAACACTGTTTTCATTAATTTGTTGTATGCTTCTCTCCTATTATATGATGCTATTGCTCGTGATGCAGTGTTCGTTCTCACGTTGCTTTGGAGCACCATTCTCGCTCATTGACACTTAGGTTATCTGACAATAACTCATAGTAATCAGGAAAAAACTTATAATAATCCGCTTCATAATCTAGTTTGTTTGGATCACAATTAGATGTAGTGGATCCAAACAGAACCTAAAATGTTTAAAAATCATCCACACTTTTAAGCAAATTCGATGTCACATTGTCCCAAGCATTATTCCGTTGAGAGATCTCTTTTCAAGAAACTACACTTTTATAACAAAATGTGTAAGAAAATACTTTTTTGTTTTTTAATAATGGTAGTTTCTATTAAAAACTTAAGAACATTACATCGAGATTATATAAATATTTTTGTAAAAGCACTTCTAACATTTGTGTAAACAGGCACACAACGAAACAAGGAGAATACTAACACATTCTAGGCACACAACCAAACAAAAAAACAACATATTCTAGTGGTTATCAATTCATAAACTAGATCAGCATCCATATACACATGTAGTGTAAGAAAATATGACATTTTTTACATATATTTGTCTAATTAACCATGTTGTAACTGTTCATATCGCCATTCTATATCAAGAAAACATTCACTTAGTATGAGGATGCCATTTTCATACGGCATTCACCATACCTGAATGTTGGATTTAAGTTGGTTTGGCCCATTTATATTCAATTAAAACAATAAATTCTAAGGCCCATGTTCAATGCTTGGAATAATGTGTTTCAATCCAAGTGACAATTTAAGAAGAGAATTAATCAATATAAAAGAGGGTAGCATTTGTTGCATCTGCTGTGAACATGGAAAAATCAAAGATGCAAATTGGCACACGTGCACCCGCTCATCGCCACACCATGGCCAAGCCGTTTCTGAGGAGGGATGGCACATTCCAATCACAACGCCAAATGACCCGATTTCATGCTGTCCATTACATGTAAACACAAGCATAGATGTGGATAATATGCTAGCGGGAATTAAAACTCGACCACAAACTAAATTCTAAGCTATGTGAGTTTAATTCGCGTGTTACCCTTGAATATCTTCACCACTTATCTTGACACCAAACGCAAAATAAAAGAGGGCGAAGCTTACTCGTAAAAGTACACCTCCGCAAACAGTTCTTGTCATTTCAGATACGGAATGGCTAGCGCCCTGACGTCCGAACGAACATGCCCGACCCGCCTGCTACGTCTGTCCTGGCTACCATGCATGTTGCTAAGCCTTCCCTGCCTTTTCCAAAAAAAAAGCCTGCCCCGCATGCAACTCTGCACCTGCACACCTGACCCTGCATGCTGGTGCGCCTACACATGTAGTTGTGCGCTTCGTGCCTGCTAATGTTGCAACATGAAGCACTTCTGCAACATACGTCTGAAACGGGTGAAATATTTGCAGCATACGCTTACAACATATGTGTAAAGCACCTGCAACATATGTATAAAGCAACTGCAACATATGCAATATCTAGATAAAACACTTGCATCATACGTCTAAAACATATGAAACATTTTAAATAGACGCTAGCAACATACGCATATAGCTACTTAAACAATATATGTGTAAAGCAACTGCAACATATGTATAAAGCAACTGCAACATATGCAATATCCAGATAAAACACTTGCATCATACGTTTGAAATATATGAAACATTTTGAATAGACGGTAGCAACATATGCATATAGCTACTGAAACATATGCAACATCCAAATAAAACACTTGCAACATACATCTAAAACAGATGAAACATTTGAAAACATATACTTGCAACATATGTGTATAGCCATTGCAACATATGCAACATCCAGATGAAACACATTCAACATCCGGATAAACACACATGCAACATCCAGATGAAACATACATCTAAACTCATGAAACATAAGGTTGCAACATGTGCTCATCTACTTGACGGAGTCCAATGGAGGCTAATTGACGTGTTGCGTGGGAGCGCATCGCAAGGCGCAGACAACGCGAGGCACCGGCGGGGTGCACGACACGAGGCGCAAGGCACGGGGCGCACATGGCGCGAGGCAGGTCCAGTGCGACCGTGCGAGGCGTGAGGTGCAGGGACGCACGACGCGAGGCGGGAGGCGCAGGGGCGCGCAGCGCACGCGGCGCGAGGCAGGTCCGATGTGACCGTGTGAGGCGCAAGGTGCAGGGGGCGCGGCGCGAGGCGGGTCCGTCCCGTCCAGACGGACGAACGTCTTGATAGGAGCTTTAGCGTTTCAGATAAGGGTGGTCCATGGATAGCAATAACATAGCTAAGTTTCCTTATCCATGATAAGCAACAAGTGGTCACAACTGTGTCTATCCTCTGCATCCATTACATTGGTGATGCCTTGTAGATCTTCAGTGCTAGCCGTATTTGTTATCCTTGCTCTATTATAGAGAGTCCCCAAAAAAAAGTAAAGTGGTGTAGCCTTCACCTTTTATGTTGCTAGTTTAGTCCCTCATGCTTAACCTTAGTGTTAGAAAGGATCGCTGGGAGTGTAGTTTCATCTCTTTGTCCTCTCGACTTGCTCTACCACTTTTTTTTGTTTGGTTCGCATGTGTGCCACCTTGGTTATCATTCTCGTTATCCACCTTACTCCAACTTTAGAATAGATGGTACCTAATTAGTGATCTATTCCCAACTTATTTAATGATAATTCTTCCTATCACATTTAGAACACGACCAACGCTGACTACCAAAAGCGTTGGTCCTAGCAAAAAGCAGTCCTCCACGTATAATCCTGGATGGATGAAGCCTCTAGTTACCACAGGCCAGAGCACAAGCCACAGGTACCTATTTACCTCTCAGGCCCACCATTACTTCTCCCTCTCCAATGGTCATTCTCAAGTTACTGCTTTTCTAAATCCATTAGTCAATGTCACGAAGGTTTATATCTGCACTGTATGCTTTTCAACTGAACCCGACACTTCCTCTAGCGAGGTCATGGGCAGCTCTACGAGACTATATGACAAACGTAAAGCCACCATCTAGTTGTCTGTCTCCTCCATTTGGCATACGAACCTATATAACACTACTACAAAAACTTTACTGGAGGCGGACGTTTTCGGTTTTCCGCGGCGGGCAAAGCCGTCCGCCGCGGCCTAGAGGCCACGGTAAATCGTGGCTTAACCGCGGCGGGCGGCCTTGCCCGCCGCGGTTAACCGATTTACCGCGGCGGGCACGTTACACCGACCGCCTCGGTTAATCGTTTGGAAAAAACAAAAAAAACCAAAGCCCACCGGCGAGCCCATTGACTAAGCCCACCGGCGAGCCCAATCCCAAAATGAAACCCTAGCGCCGCCATCGTCGTCCCTGGATCCAGCTGCAGCCGCCTCTGCAGCGCCGCTGCCGAAGATGAGGCCGGAAAGGAGGAGGGCGCCGAGCAGCCGCGCATCCGCGTGCGCCGCCACCGCAGCTCCGACGTCCGTGCCGGCTCTAGATCTGGGAAAGGGGAGAGGGCACAGTGAGGGAGACGAAGAGAGAAGAGCGAGGGAGACGAAGAGAGACCATGTTAGCGCCGTGGGGGCTGGATCTGGGCCATGGTGGCCGGATCTCGTCGTCGTCATCTGCAAAGGAAGAGGGAGAGGGAGATGAAGGAAGAGGGAGAGGGAGGGAAGTGTTGTACCTACCTCCACGCGCCGCGCGCCATCCCACGCCCCACGCGCCGCGGCGCCGTGGATCCCCGCCGGAGCAAGTGCCGCCGCCATGGATCTGGCCCCAGCCGTCGTGGATCTAGCCCCAGTCACCGTCGTCGTCGTGGACGCCCCAGCCACTGCCGCCGCGAGGAGGGAGGGGGAAGGCCGCCATCGTGGATCCGCGCCATGGAGAGGGAGGGAGGAAGGGCGCCGCCGTGGTGAGGCCAGATCCGTCGGGGACGCCGTGGTGGACGCCGCCGCCACCTTGCTGTGGCATTCCTTGCCGCCGGCCATGGCGCGCACCACCGGGTATGCCCGCCTTGCAGCGCCATCACCGGCGTCATGGGGTGGAGAGGGAGATGGAGGCTGGCCGGAGAAGAGGGGCGGCCCGCCGAGACGCTGTGAGGGAGAGGCTGGCCGGATCTGAGAGTGAGAGGGAGCCGAGAATGGCGATGAAGGGGATCGGGTGCTCACGGAGGCGGAGGGAGGGAGTTCGGCTGTGGCTGGGAAACCCTAAGTGTGCCTATTTATACCTGGAGTGGCTATCGGGCTTCGTCTTGAGCCGGTTGGGCCGAGCCATTTTCCGTGGCGGGCCTTATAACGCGCCCGCCTCGGAAAATCAATTTACCGAGGCGGGCACCTTAAAATGCCCGCCACGGTTAATACCTATTAACCGTGGCGGGCATTTTAAGGTGCCCGCCTCGGTAAATGGATTTTTCGAGACGGGCAAAAGTGTCCACCACGGTAAATAAAAAACGCCCGCCTTGGTAAATCGTGGGATTTACCGTGGCGGGCTAAAATAGGCGTCCGCCTCGGTTAAGCTTTTGGGGTGTCTTGCAAAATCGTTTCTGTAGTAGTGTAAGTGTCTGTTTGGCAGGGTTTTTTTTTTTGCTCCGGCTCTGGCTGCTCAAGAAGCTATGCCAAACGGGGTTTTTTTTGAGAAGCCATTTTTTAAGTAAAAAACAGAAAAACTGGAGCTGTTTTTGAAGGAGTCGGCTCTTCTGAAGGAGCCCCTCGAGACGAGCCATGCCAAACGTCCTCTAAATATGCGGAGCTAACTTACATGTTGGCGCGTTGGGCACGGCCCCCAACACCCTGAGGTGGCTAGTAGCCTCATCTTCCATGTCCCACACGATAACACGAGGTCCATGTAACATCTGCTGGTGGCTTCGCAGTAGGTCACAACTACGTGCAGAAGCCACCGATGCTTTGTCTGACAAAAGTTGCAGGGTCAGTC